TGAACCAGAGCCAGCAGATGACACGGCAGCACAAATCCTCTCTAGCTGTGAAATATGTCCAGTAAAGAAGATTCTGTGTCTCCGGTGTTTCTCCAGACTCTGTGACCTTGGTTTCTCCTTAGCTTAGGTAGGATAACTGATTCAGGATGAAATAGAATAAATCAAGCCTCCCGTAGCTGACTGGAAACTTTGATTTGTCTTGATAAACCTCTCAGAGCTTTGTTTATCCCTGTTGTTTTCCTTTGTCTATTACAAATTTCCTTCCAATCAACTTTCTATGCTTGGATTCGGTTTTGCAACCAGGAGGCTCGTTTGCTTCTGACTGAAACCATTTAGGCTAAAACAACCTTTGCAGATGTTTTGAGCTGATAACATTACTGGCACATGAGATGAATATTCAGGATTCTATTTTTCTGAGACACAGAATTTAGATTCCTGTTGAATTCAAATCGTAATCATCAAATGACAAAGTAAAACAGGATTGACATATTTATTTACTTTGTAATGAAATAAATCCACATATTTCATAACCATTCCAACTATTTAAGTTCTACCCAGGCCCTTTTACAAGACGTGTTTAAAGATTGAAATAGGTGGCTGTTCTTAGATTGGATGGTTGAACTGAAAAGGGAGGGAAGCAATATTGTTATTGATCAGACTTGCAAAGAAAAACAGTCAGATTCTACTTTCTGGCTGTTTGGTTGATGCATCTCTAAATTCTAACCTGCTATAACATGGAAGGTAGGACTTTTAAAAGGGGTCTACATTAAATATCACGTTTTTGGTCATTTTTAAAAGCAAATTATTCCTCCTCCAAAGATGCAAAAATTAACAACAGTTAAATAAAGAATTTCTATTTATTTATTTGTTTCTGTCATTTGCAATCTATTCAGCCACACAAGCCAGAAACAATTGCAGAGAAATGCTTATCTGAACAAATTAAGAAAATACATCTTCTGCTGGTTTCTTAAATGATTTGTTCTCTGAATTTACCTTTCAGGCATTTTGTTTTTTGTAACAGTGAGAATGAGACACAGCCTTTCTTTATTGTAGTCTTTTATTCCAAACCTAACTAACTCGTTTGGCTGAGCAGATTCTAGTTAAATTTCAGGTTTTTTTATGTTGTTTTCAAAAGGTGATTTTAATGCCACACTGGGGGAAAAAAAATCAAAATCTAAATAAGTCATTTTTTCATAAAATAAGTGCATCTGTTCTTGAAACGAGGAGGTAAGCGAGACACTTAAAATGTTCATTTAAAATAAGAAAAAACAATTGCATGGTCTTATTTCAGATGCATGTTATTTTAAGGGTAAATATAATCATTCCATTAGACAATCATCTTATTTACCTACTCAAATTAAGGGTAAATACACTTAATTTAGGAAATGTTTAATTATTTCTAGAGATTTTTGAAGTGCATGCACTTCAACAATATCTTAGCAATGCAATAAATAACCATGGCCACAAGGGGGCGCTGGCTCTGTATCTCTCACTGCACAAACGTTCTGAAAATAAGTAAATATTTAAAATAAGTGTATTTACCCTTAATTTGAACAGGAAAATAAGATGATCTGCCCTGTATGTTTACCCTTAAAATAAGATAATTAGATATTATGCACTTGAAATAAGAGACTGCAGTTGTTTTTCCTTTTTTTAAATGTAAATTGTCTCATTCCTTTGGCAAAGTGCCTCACTAACCTGCTTAAATTAATAAAACATGCACTTATTTAAAGAAAAAAATGAATTACTTAGATTTACATTTTCTGTACAGAAAATAAATGACATCATAGGAATAAAATATAACAGAGAAATTAATCTTTTTGTGCTTCTTAATCTGTATGATTGCAGCTGATAAATGTTTTAGGGATGAAACTAAACAGCTCTTCATGTTTTCTTCTATTTTCTTTACAAATTACATGTTAATCTAAATCAGGTTTGTTAAAAAAATAAAAGGTCAATTGGCAATTAAATGAAGCTGCTGGACCAAACAGTTCATGTTTAGTTGTGGGATTTAAATCTGATTTCATTGTATGATTCAATATCTTGTCTCACACTATTGGTGTTTGTTAAATCACTGTAGGAAAAGTTTTTATATCTGTTGAAGCAATAGACATTAGCAATAGCTTCAGTGAAAGCTGGGACTGATAAAAACTCAAGAAGAAATGATCTTAGAAAAATAGAAAGGCTGCAACCTGGGAGATACTAACAGCAATCTAAACCCACAAGATCCATTTTTACTATTATAATATAATGAAACAAACTAATCAACCAACTTTAGTTCAGTATAGTTATAATGCCTGAAGGAGATATTTCCTTCTGAGGTTAGTAATGATTACCTTCAGAGGAAATTATGCAGTCCTTTGCATCAAAATGAATTCCTAATAATATATAGTAATGCCTCCAGGTCAGAGGCAAAGATCCAGGAGATCCAGCCAGTAGCAGACATTTTCACCTTAAAAAGGGCCTTAGCGAATTATTGCCACCGGTGCAGAGCTTGCTCAACACTGAACTTCAAATGGCCTTGTAGAAAACCACCTCTGGTCCAGAAAATCCCACAGAAATTGAAACTATGGATGGAATTTCAGCCTCTTTGGGATTTTACTGTACATGACTAGAGCTTCTTTCTAGCAGTTTGTAGAACAGGGGGAATTGATTGACGTCTGCTTTTAAGTTTCTTAATTACTTGTAGCAGTTTGATTCCCACTGAATGTGACCTATTTTTAGCTTCTTCTTTGACTCCAACATGATTACTTATTTGATCTTGGCTTCTCCACCTGCTATGTTTTTTAATCACTCCTGGTCTAAAGATCCAAAACTGCTATGTTTAATATTTTATCCTGTTCATTGTGATATAATCTACCATCATGCTAAAGAATTAACAGAAGAAAGCATCACCAATCTGGGTGTATTATATTATATGTACAATATTTTAGTGTAAGGTTTGGATTTTAATGTAATGAGTGTGAGGTAGAACAGCTCTTGATCGACGTCCAAATATAAGAAACAATATCAGACAAAGATCTTATTGGGATCCTTCCTGTCTGCATGGAACAGGACTTACTGCCTGTCTCAAAATAAATAATCACAGGTCATTTTCCAGCAGTCCATGATAAGAGGAGGGAGATTTATATGGAGGGAAATTTGTTCCATTTGGTTACATTATTGTTTTCAGCAAAGGAGGTGTTTTGTAAATGGAAATAAAAAAACAAAAAAAAATTGTAAATTGGAGCAAAAGAAATAAAATAAAACCTTCAACTTTTTAATCAAAAAGAGCAAATGCTGTTTTTTTAAATGTTTTTTTGTTGTTTTACAGCTCTTTGTTTGCTTTTTTCAAAAAAGAAAATGAAAAAATATAAATGGATGTTATATTATCCTTTTATTTATTTATTTATTTTACAGATTTCATATTTTAACATTTTCAAAAAGTAAAATAAAAATTTTTTTAATATTTTATATTTTTGGATCGTTCTTTGTCAAATTTCTGTTTTTCAGATTGAGGTTTACGGATTGCATTGTTTTCAAGATGTTTCAAAGCT